CCCGAGGAAATCAAATTCTCATTTTCTTTAGATAATTTGGAAATTCGGAAATGGATCCTACACCTCTAACAATATTTTGAAAAGATCCATTGTGGTATCGTTTTTTAAATATGTTCAAGTTACATTTGTAATTAAACATAGATAGAGGTAGATGTGGCATAAACGTCTATGACACACCAATCAAACTAAAACATTATACACATCTAGATGTCCGCATACGGTAATCGACAATAAAATGGTGTCTGCACGTAGAGATACATATACAAAACTTTTTATATGCTTGGTGTACCTTTTGAACTCATGAATATTCTCATTTTATATTAATGTCCCAATTTTCCTTAAATCTTAAAAAAATGTTTAAATAATATAAATATGCATTTATACACAGAATCTTAAAAAACATTCCCTTAATAGATATGTGTGACAAGTATAAAGATGTCACTGCTATATATTTTAGTCGTGATGGTCAATCTTTCGTTTTCTGTGATTTGTTTTTAAAACTGATTGTCTTTTTGTCGTCTGTCGTTTTGTTTTTTGTCATTGCGTCCTCATTTTTGTGTAGAATTGAGTTTTTAATGGCCTCTTGGTATTTTCCACCTCCTTTTAACATTTAGAGATTTTTCAATTGAGATTTCTGGTAAACAGGAGATGGTGCACATTTAAAACATCTTCCAATACCCCATAACAAATGCATTATACATGTACATATGTTTGAAATGCAACTATACTTTATGTCATTTTCAGAGTCACTTTTTTAGGTCCGTTATTATTCAGGAAACAATGCAAAAAGACCAAATAATAGGCAAACTTAAACTTAAACTCTGAAATTACTTTAAAACCAATAAACATGTATTTTCAACATTTATACTTTGAATTTTTTTATGATCTCTTCATCTTTACTCATAACTCCAATAGTTGAATGCAACACATGCATTTTAAAATTATAAGTTTTGTGGAGAGAATAAGAAAGAAGTGAATGGGTAAGATAGATTAATTCGGTAAATTTGAATTACAAGGATACACATTCAGTTGTATGAATAATTTTTCACTCGAAATTAAACATTAATTTTATAATTGACACTTGAGGCTTGATGATTGGTGATATTAATAGCAATGTATGCAAAATTTCCTGGTAATCGTTTCTTAGAATTTTTAAATTTAAGATCTTATATCAACATTAAAATTAATAGCGTACAATGTAGGTGGGGTATGTTTACGTTTATATTTACGATGTACTTTTGGTTTCTTCTCATAAGGAAACATTTTACAAATATCAAACTAGATCATTCACAGAGACTTTCCAAGAGTTTTTACTTAATTTTATAACTTTACTGACATAAAAGAGAATAGTTGTTTTAACATGATGCAATAATTAGCATTTAATATCATCTACCGTATAAAAGTAGTTGATCTACTAATAAACGTTTTGATTTGCAATACATATTACCTGTATAAAAAAACTATTTCTTTGAAATTTTTGCTTGATATAGGATTGTCAAATGCTGAACTACAAGTAATTTTTTATCAGTCATCTTCGATTTATGACCTTATTTTGACATCAATAATTGCCGACCTCACAATACAGATGGTAATATGTTCTTCTGCAGTTATTAAGTGAGATACGTAAAAAGCCGAGCTCCTCACCTCCCTCCACCCACGCACTAACAAAAAATGTTTAACTTATGATGATTATATTGAAAGCGCTGTACATACATATAGTTGAGCCCCACGCTCACAAAGATGTAAATGCGACCAATTCAATTGAATATTCAATATTATTTACCGATCTCCAAGGGTGACACGATGTGTACTGAATATCACCAAAATGCACACACGACTTCTTCATGTTCCTTGTATTTAATTAAAATTCGAGTTGTCATCAATGATTTCTAAGGTAACTTGTCAGTTATGATATTATTCAATGTGTGTCCTTAGTTTCAATTTCAGGTATAACGTAATTTTTCAACCTTTCTGTTAATATTTCCCTGGTGGGGATATGTATACGTAACCTTTTTATAAGCATGGTAAAGACTGTTGTTTTTTTGTTCCTGTTAGTTACTGATTATTAGACGTGTTAGGAAAGGGATTTAAATACTGCGCTGATGTTAAATACCAATACCGATACAAGATTTAAGTGTGGACTTTCTCAAAATGCAATTGCATTGAAAAATATCCCTGCGTACATGTAGTATAATTTAGCTTTGTGGGATGTTTGATAAATTTATGAAGCAAACGGTTAACGTCGACTCTTCTAAGACGTGCATTGGTATTGCGTAGATATTCATACATTCATTTGTATTTGATTTATGAGTGCAAAACAAAACTTACAAAAAACATATGTAAGGGTCAAGAATGGAAATGACGGAATTACCAGGCAACAAGTCCAGAAATATACATTTAATATGAGTAGAATATGTTTAATAGTAAAAAAAACTCAGTTTGCCTCTCCACAAGTCCAGCACACAATTCAACAGTTTTATTTCATTCGTGTCTTGAATGTCTCCACAAAGTGCCGATAGCCGTAAAAGTTTTTAAACGTCTGATGGCGTGTTCAACATAAACTTGACATTCTGGAATTCTTCTATTTAGTTTTTTTTGCATTTTCTTTTTTCCCTTTGCGGTTTTGTCTTATTTGGTATCTCCAATATGGCGTAACAATTTGTAAAAGGTTCGAATAAATCTTATCACATAAATTAACACAGTTTGGAGGAAGATTCAATTCCAAGTTGGTGACAATTCATGGAAGAAGGTTGTCTTGCTGTGCATCGTTTTAATGTTCAAGAAAACCACCTTTTACGAGCCGTATGTGATTTGTATTGTCTATTTCTATCTGGGTATGAATGGAAAGATAGACGAAAGCACCCATCACTTTATACCTGCCAATTTAGAAAGCGGAGTGTATAGTGAATATTAGGCAAAACAAAATGAAAGAAATCGAGAAAAAAAAAATGGCCCGATGTATAATTTAACAGGCTTTGTAAGAGGTGAAAAGAAATATTCCATTTTCAAAAACCTCCTGACCCAACAGTAATAAAAAAACTTCCAATCCTTCTCCAAAACGTAAATATAACATGCTTGATTAATGCCTAAATGTGGTAATCTTTTAAAACTTAATTCGATAACCTCTTTTGTCCGAAAAATTAACTGTTGATAGAAAGAAAATGTCAGTTAAAATGTGATTTAGAATAATTAATGCACACATTTCAACAGGTTTTTTTTCCAGGTATTTTCCTTTTTCAGTATTACATTTAGTTGCCATAGTAACCTTACTAGATGAAATAAAAACAATAAAAATAATCAAATTGAATACGCTTTTGTTTCATTTTTTTTTTTTTTTTTAATTGTCAAGTACACAAATTTCTAGTTTTTTTTATTAGAATTTTAAGCTACACATTTCTCTATTATAGAAAATGATTTAAAAAAGGAGATGTGGTATGATTGCCAAAGTAGACAACTATCTACCAGAGATCATATGACGTAAATGTTTGCTACTTTAGGTCACCGTATGGCCTCCAACAAGGAGCAAACCCCATTCCGCATAAAAGCTAAGAAAGTTCCCGACATTGAAAAGTATATTTAAATGAATTTCAAATAAACGAACATTTCGAACAAAGATTTATTTAGAGTAAAAAATCGGATTCGGATGTGATTTGATTGCAGTGTTTTTTTTATTCATTTATTTTGATCACTTTGCAGATTTTCCTTGTAGTCGTTCAACAAAATAGTAAGAAAAGGGGGAACAACGATCTTAATCTTAATCGATCACTACTATGAAACAATGCAATTTTATGATAATAATATAAATAATAATCGTGTTGTTTTGCTGAATTTTCGTCTGTGTATTTCAGAATAAAATGTAATCATCTTATTGTTTAAAAATCATCTCAGCATTATTAAACGAACCCATACAGGTAAATATAATGAATGATTATCTGTGCTTTTTGAGATAGTCCCCACTAAAGCCTGTAGTGGTATTGGTATTTAACATCAGCGTCAAAATCCTATTGACTTTCCTAACACGTCTATTACAAATTAGGTAGCTAGAATTTTTAAAGATCTATACATATGAGGTAAGTGTCTGTTTCTTACAAGAATATCATAACGAAGTTATTTTTATGTTGCATAGTAATATTGATATGATGTTCGTCATTAATATATATGAAAACAAAAACATGTTTCTGAAAGACTGATTAAATTATTGAGAAAAAATAACGTTGTTGTGCGTTGTACACCTCTGAGGAGCAAAATATTTCTAGAATTAAACTTTTTCCTTAACCTGATTTTGGGGTTTATATTACTGTAAGAAAATAATTCACGATGAAAATATCATATGGTGGTGCACTTATTTTTTTGCTACGGCCATTTTAAAGAACTGCATGTTTAATTAGCTTCCCATTTTCATCCATTTTTACACATTTTGGGGCTTTTATCATGAAAAAAATCACAGTTTCACAACTAAACATTTTATCATACTTTCACTAAAGATGAAGTGGACCAATCTGATCAAATTTAACTTAAAAAAACTATTAGTTGGTGTGAATATTAGAAAGTTTTATAAAATTTTGTTGCATGTTCGTGTCAAATTGATCATGCTGTCAATTTTGTAAATTTGGGATTTTTCTCTTTTTTTTTTTAGAACAAAAAGCATATTATTTCAGCTTCTTTGTAAAGAATGATTGAAAAAATACATATCTAAGAATATTGAAGAGAACCCATTTTCTCAACATTTTAGCTGATGACACTGACCGTATTGGTTATAAAATTTGAAAATTTTATTACTCAAAAACAACTTACTGTAAGTAAATAATTTTTTCATAGAGTTTAGTTTGATTATAATATTTTTTAAATGCATTGATATTTTCCACTTGTTTTACATGTTTTGGAAATAATTCCCGAACTAGATTTCAACGATACTGAAACATCAGAAGAATACATCCTTGATGAAATTTTCTCGTGATATGTAATGAATTTTAATACAATTTAAATGTTAAATATTTTTTTCTTTAATAGGTTCCAAAGGTATGAGTGTGATGACCGTTTCAATGCAGACTTTTATCTTGTTTTTTCATTTCATCGTCTGTTTGAAGTCAGAGGTAAGTATGTGTATATACATTTATTTGTTTGATATTAAAATATTTGAAATATGCAGGCATGATTATTTATGTCCATTACGTCACCATCCTAATTCTGTTCTATCAATAATAGTACATGTACTACTATTGTCATAAAATTGAGAATGGAAACGGGGAATGTGTCAAATAGACAACCCAACCAAAGAGCAGAAAACAGCCCAAGGCCACCAGTGGGTCTTCAACACAGCGAGAAAATTCTACACCCGAAGGCGGGCTTCAGCTGGTCCCTAAACAAAACTGTGTACTAGTTCAGAGAAAATGGACGTCACACTCAACTCCGAAACATAAAAATGAACCAAAATTAAAAAAACATACAATACTAACAAAGACTAGAGGTTCCTGACTTGGGACAGGCGCAAACGTGCGGCGGGGTTAAACATGTTTTGTGAGATCTCATCCGTCCCTATACCTCTAGCCAATGTAGAATAAACAAACACATAGCAATACGCACAGTAAAACTCATTTTGAGGAAGTCCGAGTCCGAGTTAGAATAGGTAACAGAAGAAACTAAGCAAAATGACAATGATAACATAAATTAACAATGGACTACTAGCAGTTACTGACATGCCACCTCCAGACCTCAATTAAACTGATTGAAAGATTATGTCTTCATCATATGAAAATCAATCACAATCCCTCCCGTTAGGGGTTTAGTATCATACCATCATAAAATATATGAGAAGAACATAACCCGTATCATGCCATCAACTGGTTTTAGAATAAATGTGTTTATTTCCGATGCAAAGACCCTATGAGTGAATCAATATTAATTCCAAAAAATGCCATATTTAATGACCTGACAACAGTACCGTAACTATATTCCTTCTGAATAAGTCTGTTTGAAGGTTTCGTTAGCTTTTGAGGTGAATGACCATATTTTTGTGCTTTGTATAGAATATTACCATAAAAGATTCGATGTGAAATACCTGAACGTATAAGATGTCTACACGTAGATTTATATTTACGAATAATGTCCTTGTACCGATGATAAAATTTGGTAAATGTTTTGACACGTTTGTAATATCGAATACCCTGGTGTAATAATTTTTCTGTACTACAGCAATTTCTTTCGTTAAAATCAAATACGTTGTTACATACAGGAGCAAATCGAAGTTGATATATATAAACACCATAAGATGGTGACAAGGGAACGTCACCATCTAAAAATGGACAATTAACAATATGAAATGAATTATTATCTCTTTTATCGTAAATTTTGGTATTAAGCTTCCAGTTAAAGATATAGATATCAAGATCCAAGAAAGGACAGTGTTCATTGTTAGTATTAGCTTTATTTAAAGTCAGTTCAGCAGGATAAATTTCTTTAGTGTACATACTGAAGTCGTCATTATTGAGAGCCAATATATCATCCAAATATCTAAAAGTGTTATTCAATTTTTTATCATAAATTGTAACTCCTAACACTACAGAAACAGTACAAATGTCACAAATAGGGGCAGATGGTCTAATTCGGTAGGTCACATTCGTGAAAAGGGAACGGGATTATAGTTACGACATAAGGAACATATCCGATATCATCTGTGAAACGGATATTCCATAACGGTCAACCAACTCGTGATGGCGTCCGTAAAATTTACAAAGTGATGATTTCAACTTCACCATTTGGAACACTTAGTTTAAAAATGAAAAATCACAATTGAAAGCTGAAATCATCTCTTTTGTCGTAAAGTTTTGTTTTCAACCGACCCTCATAGTCAATTTCTAGATATAAGCCATAATCAAATGGCAAAATCAAAAGCTCAAACACATCAAACGAATGGATAACAACTGTCATATTCCTGACTTGGTACAGGCATTTTCTTATGTAGAACATGGTGGATTGAACCTGGTTTTATAGCTAGCTAAACCTCTCAAATGCATGATTATTGTTGTTTTGTTGTCGTTTTTGTTGACAAAATGTTGTAGTACTTCTACCATTATGAAGCCACCATCAATAAACTGCATGATTATTTTGCCACTTTTGGATGCACATGTAATACCATTATTGGAATCAATTTTTCTGCGCCAGATGTAAGTATTTAATAGAAAACAAGGGAGATTATTACTATACATTCCATATTCAGTGATATGTATAGTACTTTGCTACCAATAACATTTTATACGGAAATATTAACGTACTCGTATTTATCGTTGAAGATCTATTCGACTATATGAATACAAGAGATCTGTAACGGTAAATCAAACTCGAAATATTAAGTAACTATATTTATCTTAACGATTTTTGAAGATTTATTTTAACAATTGGTATATATAACTGAAAAATGTCAGGGAAATTACACAAAAAGTCTACTATAATGTTTCACCATTAACCTAAAGAAGTTCTATCAAATACAATTAGAAATAGATGTCGTGAAACGGATCTCGTTACTTAATTTTACACGACGGATGTCGTATGTGGAATAAGGTCTGCTTACCCTTCCGGAGCACCTGAAATAATCTCCGTTTTTTTAAGTTGGGTTCGTGTTGCTCAGTTTTTGGTTTTCTATGTTGTGTTTTGTACATTGCTGTTCTACATTTGATCGTTTTTTGCCATGTCATTGTTATTTTTTTTGTTTTTTTTTTACTTATGAGTTTTAGTTTCCCTTTTGTTTCTTTCGCCTCTCATTTACAGAATTCTCTCAACAACAAAAAATTGTTCCAACTTAGGGTTTATTTTCCCAATCAAATAAACTTTCTTTTCCTTTATGGTAATATTTTGCTTCGTGTGTTTTGGTCTTGTACATCCTTGGCTTTCAATTTTTTGGTTTGGACTCTCCTGATGAAAGTAAATCGATGAAAGCGCCTTTGACGCACAGCATCAGTCAAGTGTTATATTCATTTTATGGCAATTGGATACAAATGTTAAGTTTTGAAATAAACGAATCTTTAGATAACGAACGCTTCATAAAGTGTGCATTATTAGGGATGTCAACTCGATGAAAAATTACTAATCGGAAACTCTTTGGATTTACCAAGCAATACTCAAGTACTTGTTCAGAAAAATATCAACGAATTGGAAACACAATTAAAAGAATTTTAAGTTTTGTCACAGTCTAATGGACGTTAAACCCGATACATTATTATCGGGGACTACAAAATGGTTTCAGGAATTATATACAATAATTTTATAGCGCATTCTAAGATGACGACCTTATTTCCCTATGTAAACAAATCCGTGTTCTAATTAGCACAAAATATGTTTGACACATGTGCACAAGCTTACTGTTTACATTCTAGTTATTTTCATTATTATCGTAATAAAATATATATATTTAAGTTGCTTGCAGAAAATTATATTACATATTGTTATTTTACATATATTTACCCTGCTATCATTTTTTTAAACTTATCAAATATGTAAATGTAATGTACATATTTCATTGAGAGGAAACGGGAAAAACCAAGCATTCCCAAGGCATTTTCGTACGCGTCGACCGATGAAAGTACTGTTTTTGTCCTATTAGAATCGTAATAATTCCTTAATTATGTACATGTTCTGATTAAGAAAACAATAATCTTACCAATAATAAACATCTATTGAATATAATAATATGATTACAAAGTTAAAGCAGATAAGCAACAAGTAAATTGTGTAAACTTATAGAAAACACATTAACACAGGCGATAATTAGAAGTTACTGATGCTCACGACCGTCCGTTAAACGTTCTATTGTTCTTTGGAAGGATTTTCGCTTTGAATCTCCACCTATATACTTCAACTTCTCAAAAATTCAACTGTGATTAATCAATGATTACTATTTTAATCTCCGATTGGTGCTCTCAAGAAAATACTCCTTATGAAGAGAAGGGGACAATGTCCTAGCATGAAACCGAGTATTATTTTGGTATTCGATACTACCGAGCAGTGCTCCTGAACTGAGTTTTCGTTGAAATTCCTATTTTTTTATCAACATTTTAAACTAATATTTGATTAGTTTTTCATATTCTTAACTATTCTTGACTGATATAAACATTTTGCCATTAAAGTCGACCAAAGAGACTGAATCGACAAATAAAAAAAATAATCTTTAAATTCAGCAATAGATAGCTATACAAGACGTGATATTTCTTACATTTATGCAATGTGTTACACTAGGTTTTGGTATTATTGTCATCGGTAGCAGCCGATTGAAAAAAAAACATTTAACTTTGGAATTTTATGCGACTATCATACAAGTGAGAGGTTTAGCAAGCTACAAAACCAGGTTTAATCCACAATTTTCTACATAAGGAAATGCCTGTACCTGGACAGTTGTTTTCCATTCGTTTGATGTGTTGAGATTTTGATTTTCCCATTTGATATGGGACTTTCCGATTTGAATTTTCCTTGGAGTTTGGTATTTTTCGTTCGTATATAGCGTTCCTGATGAAGGTAAATCTAGAAAAGCGCTTCGGACGCATGAAATTATTAAACGTGTTGTTTTCAATTTTTTACATCACTGGGTCGATACCTATGCTGGTGGACTATCAGTCCCCGAGGGTATCATCAGCTCAGTAGTCAGTACTTCGGTACTGACATGATTTATAACTAACTTTTCTAAAATTGTCCGTTTATAAATTTTAAAATAAATTATAAAGAAACTGAGATTTCAACTCCCTCAGGCAAAGTTGACCTTAGATGAATTTGGCTATTTGTTTTAGGTATTTTTGTCATATAGCTCTTCAACTATTTCGGTATTTATACATCCCTCGGATTTCAAATGTTTAGCATTGAGCGTTCCTGATGAAGGTAAATCCAGAAAAGCGCTTCGGACGCATGAAATTATTAAACGTGTTGTTTTCAATTTTTTATTTCGTACCTATGCCCGCACACATTAGTAGCCCACGACCTGTACCGGTATTTTAGTAGGAGTCCAGTTGACGTTTGTATGATGAGATGCATCATGATGGTCATTAACATTGATTGTTATCCTAAGTGATAAGAATTATATATGGTGGCTAAAAGAGAGACAGAAGATACCAAAGGGACATTCAAAGTCTAAAAAAAAGCAAGGCATAAACACAAAAACGACGAAAAGAACCAAGTTAATTAGTTCATTAAACACTGTATAGCAAACTAACGATTGGGAAACATAAATTTACCCAAAATTTTTTTGGTGATTTAGGAAAGGTAAGCACATCCTACTCTTCTAGTTTCACCTGTCGTGTCACTTATGGTAAATACTTATTCGGTGGTGAGTCTCATTTTGTAATGTCCTATCCGAGCAAAAAGTGAACACGATTGTGTTTACGAAAATTTGAACAAAATTTTATTATTGTCATCTGTGACACATATCCGAAATGGTCAACCAACGAGTGATGTTGTCCGTAAAAAATGAAAACAACACGTTATAAATTGGATGCGTCCGAAGCGCTTTTCTGGATTCTATCCCACCAGGAACGCTTAAAGCCGAACACTTGAAAGTTAAGGATGCACAAGGACCGAACAAATCTACTGTTTTGAACACTTGGTTTAATAGGTTCATTGTAAACAGCAACCATTTATCAAGAAAATCATTATAGATAACGCACAGTTTTGAAATTGTTTATATAAGAGACATATAATCCATATGCAGGCTGTGCTGAAATATTGCTATATAGAAATAAAGTTCACAACTGGAAAGCTGATAATCATTCCTTCTGTCGTAACGCTTGGGTCTCAATCGACCCTCGTTGTCTTTTACAAGAGATATTATCTACAGCAACACAGCACACGAAACGTTTGTCTCATTTTAAATAAATATGTTTGAGCATCGTCTGATTGGTAGTCAATATCAGTTCAGGATATCTTGATTATACTAAGCAATTTTTAATGAAATTCTCTGAATATGTTATTTATCGTTTTTATCTGTGCCAAAAGTAGAATTTATATGGAGACAACAAGTAAAACAAGTATAACTGAGTAAGTTTAATACACACTGTATGCTTATTTTTCTCGAAAAACAAAATGTTGGTATGCATCAACAACTTTAAAAGTTTAGTATATCTTAGCTTTATTATGTTCAATTACAGGCTGTGGGAGGATATGTTTACTACCCTACTTTAAGCAGACATTGTATCCCGTATCTTAATTGTGAACCAGGTAAACTGTTTCATATTTGTATAGTAAATCTCAATCCGTGCAATTTGAATATGATTAGATATCCATGGAAAGCTTTCTGTAAATTGTTTCCCTAAGTTATAAGAGAAAATAATGAATATTAATATCATTAGTCATTGTAAGTATAGCTTAATTTTGGTTTGCAAAGTAATTAAATTAAATAAACACAAAACAATTATCTAGATTCTGGAGTGATCGTCTGAATAACCGACGGAAATAACAATCTTCTATGTTTATCATAATCCTGCAAAAATGAAAACAACTCGGACTAAGTTCTTGTACAAAGTTGTATAACAAACATTTTTAGACTTCTTAAAATGACACAGAAAAAAATGAGTGCTTCCTATTTCCATTCTCAATTTTATTCTAATTAGTTATCAAAGTTACCAGGATTATAATTTAATACGCCAAACGCGCGTTTCGTCTACATAAGACTCATCAGTGACGCTCAGATCGAAATAGTTTTAAAGACAAACTAGTACAAAGTTGAAGAGCATTGAGGATCCAAAATTCCAAAACGTTGTGCCAAATACGGCTAAGGTAATCTATTCCTGGAATAAGAAAATCCTTAGTTTTTCAAAACATTCAAAGTTTTGTAAACAGGAAATTTATAAAGATGACCATATAATTGATATTCATGTCAACACCGAAGTGCTGACTTCTATTCTAACCGATTTGCCCTTAGAACAGGGTTTGATTTTGCAAATATGAAAAACAAACACACATGCAAAAAATAAAAAATAGTACTATATATTTCTCTGTACAGTCCATAGATTATTCAACTTCGTGTTAAAATATATTTTCATAAATATATAAAAGAATTGCAGAGAAGAAATCCATGGAAAAATGCAAAACCACAGATTGAAAAACATTTACATCATAGAAAGATAATAAATTAAGAAAAACCAAATGACATAGAAAATGTGAGAAAGAGCACAACGCTAGTAAGTGGCCTTCAGTGTGGTCACAAACGAGGAAAAGAGACAAAGATTCTAGATACATATAGTTAATCATATCCGTTGATATATGGGACACAACTGTATTATATTTAAGCCAACTAAATCGTGATAGTGTCTTTCCAATTTCCTTATGGATGGCTACTTGTACCACATGGAATTCAAATGTTAATACGCAATGTTATTTTATTATTTGAAATTGCTATTGTATCATTTCCCTCTGATATTGGGGAAAGGGAGGGCCAGAAATATAAACTACTGATGTACTTTGATGCACCATTTGCATTTAAACAAAATATATAATCGGATTCATTCCTGATATAACGCATAATCTATGGCATATATGTAAATCTGAATTCGAAGTACGATGTGAATTAATTTTGCCAGCATAATATATTGCTGTGTATTAAATCACGTCGGTTTATTTTGTCAAATTAATGAGGCAATGTATTGCCTTTTGAAATTTTAAGGGTCTAGCTACGATTATTCAACTAAACTCTCTTTTGAAAAGTGTATTGATGATGATGATGATGATGATGATGATGATGATGATGATGGGAGTTTTTAACGACCTTGACTGGCTATACAGCCCTCGCACGGTCGGTAAAAGTGTATTGTACAAAGAACATTTATATATATATATGTGTGTGTGTATGCTCACGTGACACTGGTTTTATCCGATCATGCTGTGTGCCTGTACCCACTCACGCTATCTGGACCTTGTGTTGATCGTTGTAATGGTGTTTGTTTTATTCTATTTTATTGTTTTTGTACGAGAGAAGTCGATTGTTGGTATTTAAGTAGTCTATATTTTTAACGACCATTCTGTTAAAGAACAAATTCCGGGATATTTTGATAATACTGAGCTCCCTCTTATTTGTTATATTTACAAGAAATCTACCCGGAAATTTGTGTTTAATTATAGCCAATTGTGTAAAGATGTTAATATCAGTGAAAATACACCTACTTCATGTAATTGCAGTAATTCCGAATACATTTATGGACCCATTTCCCATGTTATAACAGGAGATCTTAACATCGTTCAAGACCGAGAGTTAAAATCATTCCTCAGTAAAGGACCTAAATATCGTCCCCCGTCAATTATTAATTGGAATGAGTGTCGTAATATCATCCACGACTCACTCCATACTTACTGTTTGAAATGGATAAAACGGGAAAAAGCTGACAAAAAATCTTTGGACTCTTTTTTTAAATCAGTAATGAACATAGTTGATATACGTATTCAACATTTTAAAGAACATTTTACTCTTAACAATAACCACAATAAACCTATTTCTCGTATCAAACATAAACTAAAAGAACTAGCCAAGGAATTTGTTTTTGTCCCGGCCGATAAAGCTGCTAATAATATTATTATTGTTTGACGTAAATTTTACATTGAGGTTCTGAAAAAAGAAATCACCAATTCACCAACATTCCAACTGACTCCATTTTCAGAAAACGACATCTGTAACAAACATAAACTTTTAGCTACCGCTTTACAAGCAGAACCAAATACAATGAAAGTCCCAACTATGTATTGGCTTCCGAAGCTACACAAAACACCTTACAAATATAGATTCATTTCGTCTTCAAGCCATTGTTCCACTACTAAATTGTCTATTCTTCTTACCAGTACACTTGGTACAATCAAAAACCTGATAATAAATTGTTCAAATAAGGCCTTCGAAAATAGTGGAATTAATTACTTTTGGAGTGTCAAGAACTCGTTGGAAGTACTTGATAAATTGCATGCATATATTGGTGATTTTGAATCTGTTCAAAGTTTTGATTTTTCTACCCTATATACCACATTGCCTCACATTCTCATTAAGAAAAAATTCACACACCTAATTAAATGGGCATTTAAAAAGTCAGAATGTGAATATATATGTTCAAACTCTTTTAGGTCATTTTTTAGTAGCAATAAACAAAAAAACTATGTCAATTGGACATGCTTTGATACTATATATGCCCTTGAATTTTTACTAGATAACATTTTTGTTCGCTTTGGAGATTCCGTATATCGTCAGGTTATCGGAATTCCAATGGGGACTAACTGTGCACCACTTATTGCGGACCTTTTTTTGTATTGCTATGAGTTACAATTTATGACAAAAATCAGTAAAGACCCATCGAAACAACATCTGATACACAAATTTAATAATACTTTTAGATATTTGGATGATATTTTGGCTCTCAATAATGACGACTTCAGTATGTATACTAAAGAAATTTATCCTGTTGAACTTACTTTAAATAAAGCTAATACTAACAATGACCACTGCCCTTTCCTCGATCTTGATATCTATATCATTAACGGAAAGCTTAATACTAAAATATATGATAAAAGAGATGATTTTTCATTTCCTATCGTTAATTATCCATTTTTAGATGGTGACGTTCCCTTGTCACCATCTTACGGTGTTTATATATCTCAACTTGTACGATTCGCTCGTGTATGTAACAATGTTTTAGATTTTAACGAGAGAAATGTATGTATTACTGAAAAATTATTACACCAGGGTTTTCGATATCACAAACTAGTCAAAACATTTACTAAATTTTATCATCGGTATAAGGACATCATTCGTAAATATAGCTCAACATGCAGACTTCTTATACGTTCAGGTATTTCACATCCAATTTTTTATGGAAATATTCTTTATAAAGCACAAAAATGTCAGTATTCACCTCTGAAACTAACAAAACCTTTAAATAGACTTATTAAGAAGGGATATAGTTACGATACTGTTGTCAGGTCATTAAAGATTGCATATTTTGGCGTTGATATTGATTCACTTATAGGGTCTTTGCATCTGCACTAAACACATTTATTTAAAAACCAGTTGTTGGCATGACACGGGTTATGTTCTTCTCATATATGTTATGATGGTATGATACTAAACCCCTAACGGGAAGGATTGTGCCTGATATTCATATGATGAAGACATAATCTTTCAATCAGTTTAATTGAAGTCTGGAGCTGGCATGTCAGTTAACTGCTAGTAGTCTGTTGTTATTTATGTATTATTGTCATTTTGTTTATTTTCTTTGGTTACATCTTCTGACATCAGACTCGGACTTCTCTTGAACTGAATTTTAATGTGCGTATTGTTATGCGTTTACTTTTCTACATTGGCTAGAGGTATAGGGGGAGGGTTGAGATCTCATAAACATGTTTAACCCCGCCGCATTTTTGCGCCTGTCCCAAGTCAGGAGCCTCTAGCCTTTGTTAGTCTTGTATTATTTTTAATTTTAGTTTCTTGTGTACAATTTGGAGTTTAGTATGGCGTTCATTATCACTGAACTAGTATATATATTTGTTTAGGGGCCAGCTGAAGGACGCCTCCGGGTGCGGGAATTTCTCGCTGCATTGAAGACCTGTTGGTGGCCTTCTGCTGTTGTCTGTTCTGTGGTCGGGTTGTTGTCTCTTTGACACATTCCCCATTTCCATTCTCAATTTTATTTTTTACAGAGTTTGTCTTTAGTGCCGTGTGGAGACAGTAGAGTGCCTCCCCGTGCTTCAGGTTTATGCTCTTATAATATACTAGATTATGGAGTGTGTGTCCGAGCGAGAACTTCTCTAGTTCATTACTTTAGGAATATTTATCAAAAAGTAGTATTTCAATATTCAGCCCCATTCTACTATTTAGTCAGACGTCAGTCGCTACCCTAATATACCCTTTCTTTTTCGGGTAATTAATACGGATAGCGTTTGACATCTTTAGCCGAACAGATTTATCATTTTTACATAATTTAATTCATTGTATGCTGGTTCATATTCTGGACGCCAGTCTTTGCTCCTTTCTAATATAATTCACAAACAAAAAACAAATATGAAGCTTAGAAATGGAAAAATATTAAATACTAAACTCGTTCAAAGGGTATCTACACGTCTCAATCTTCAAAATCGCTTATCTAAAAATACTACCATCGCTAACATTTTTAACAATAAAAATCGTGGTTACCCTTCTATCGATAAGTGTCATGCCAAAAAATGACTTACATGTCCCCGTCTTTCCA